GGCCTTTGATAATGTCCAGCGCAGTTGTGGACGAAACGTCAGGAAGAAATTCCCATGGACCACGGCTTCAAAGCCCGGAAAACATTTCAAAATGTGCTTCTGAATTTCTTCAAATGTTTCCGAACTTCACGCTATTTTAGCGCGCAAATTGTGTCTTAAATCTTCATCGCATTCTGAATGGCAGCCTATGAAGGCCTGTCGTCGCATAAATACGACAGGGGATCCAGTGGTTGAACCAGTCTTAGTCGGAAAGCACTGCTTCATCGCCTTTGATAATGTCCATCGCAGTTGTAGACGAAAAATCAGGAATAAATTCCCATAGACCACGGCTTCAAAGCCCGAAAAACATTCCTAAATACGCAAAAGTACCTGGAACTTGCGGTTTAAAGCTCCAACGTTGGCTAGTTGCATCCAATTTGCCCGAAATACTGGCTTTGCATGATTCTTCCCTAGACGACTCTCTCATATTTGTATTATCTGCAAAATGTATTCCCATTTCTTCCAAGCAGCTCAGCAGACATGTGGGGCTTAGGCTGCCTGATATGGGAAGTGTTCCACGGGCCGCTGCATCAGCAGAGCGCTTTAAGAAGCTCGGAAAAGGTTTGCAAAGCAGGGGCTCTGCCCTAATTAGCCCGGCGTAACACTGTTATTGAACACACTGTTTGATAAATTTCAGCTTCCCAGGCAGTTGCAAACGCTGTTCACTGAACTGGTGGGTTTAAGTCCTCAATCCAGACCAAACCCCGCAGATATCATCACTAGATGCCGCAAGCTGGGCGGCTATTTCAAGAACGACCTGGTCGACACGCTGCTGTTCCTCGAGGAGATCCAGATCAAGGACAAGAACGAAAAGAACCGATTCTTTTCCAACTTGACGCCCCATTTGGACAATTTTGCCGACAACATTTGCAAGCACAAAATCCTGCCGCAACTGATCACGGCTTTCGAGTATGGAGATGCGGGCTCTGCAGTGTTGGCGCCCATGTTCAAGGTAGTGAGTTCGAGCTCGAGTTGTGTGTTTAGCCACAAACGCTGGCTGTTTAGCTGGGGAAACTCCTGGATGAGACGGAGTACCAGAAAAAGATCGTTCCCTGCGTGGTGAAGCTCTTTGGCAGCAACGACAGGGCAACGCGGTCCAGACTTCTTCAGCAGCTGGAACACTTCATCGGCCATCTCCAGCCGGGGACGGTGAACGAGCAGATATTCCCGCAAATTGCTCATGGATTTCTGGACACCAATCCCACCATTCGGGAACAGACTGTTAAAGTCAGTGGCCGTCCTCCTAAGCGGGCTGGTTTCGTTAATTTTATCGCCTCTATGGGTTGCAGTCTGTGATACACTTAGCTGCTAAGTTAAACTACAACAACTTGAACCTGGAGGTGATGCGCCACTTCGCCCGATTGCAGTCCAGCGACGATCAGGGGGGCATCCGCACCAACACCACCATCTGTTTGGGGAAGATCGCCCACCATTTGCACCCGGCAATGAGGCAGAAGGTGCTGATTTCTGCGTTTATTCGCGCGATGAAGGACCCATTTCCCCCAGCACGGATTGCTGGTGAGTATCTAAGTGAAAATGGGGCAAATGTGTTATTTAATTTTTAAACAAAACATCCCCATGGGGGTCGCTCTGTGCAATAAAACTCGTACAATATTTTTTTACAAACTTCTTGTTGGGTATTTCCAACATATTATATATTATATTGAAGTTTTTGTTCGCCATGACTGTAAATGGAGAATACGTCATCAATATAACGCCACCAAATTATTGGTTTAAATTTGTAATTATTAATGAAAGTTGATTCAAAATTTTCCATAAATAAATTACTGAAAAATGGGGATAGTGGTGACCCCATAGCCATTCCAAAATTTTGTTGAAAAAATTGTCAGTCTATTGAAAGTAAGTTGACTTTACACATATTGTTAAAAGTTCAATAATGGTGTTAATGCTTAGTTGTGTGCGTTCTTTAAGATTGGTGTCATTTTGTAATTTTTGTTTGATGATATTTAAAGTTTTATCAACAGGAACGTTAGTGAATAGACTAACAACATCAAACCTTCCTAGAATATGGTTTGGAATTATGTCTATGTCTGATAATTTTTGTAAAAAATGTTCAGAATTTTTAATATAGGAAGTTGTGTCATTTATTAGGGGATTTAAAATGTTTAAAATATATTTGGCTAAGGGATGTGCAGGTGAATTTATATTACTAACTATTGGTCGCAAAGGAATATGAACGTTAAATTTCTGACGCGAAATACCCAACAAAAAGTTTGTAAGAAAGTGAATCCGCCTCAACAATATAGAACTTATCTACGTATAATATTGGCATACAAAAACCGCAATTTTAGCATAAATGAAAACGGGCAATTTCCAGGGGTTTTGGCAATGGCAGCCACGCAACAATACTATCCACTAACCGAAGTGTCTCAAAGAGTGCTGCCCGCTTTATGCACGTTGGCTCTGGACCCGGAGAAGTCAGTCAGAGACTCGGTGTTCCGCACCATCAAGGGCTTCTTGGGAAAGCTGGAAAAAGTCTCCGAAGACCCCAGCCTGAAGGAGAGCATGGGTATGGCAGTGGCTGGGTCAACTCCCGTGCTTTTTCCACTGATCCTTTTGCAGAAGCTGATGTAAACACCGCCACCCCTAGCTTGGGAAACGCTGCAGCCACTTGGGCCGGATGGGCGGTGACTGCAGTCACCGCCAAGTTCTACCGAAGCCAGTCGGACACGGTCAAATCAATGAACACTTTTGCGAACAAAATCCTCAACAAACCCGGCTCTTTAGGTAGCACTAAGCCTCAAAGATTTGCCCGTTTTCACCTCATTTTTTCGCTTACAGAGCAGCCTTCCAGCAGCAGCATATCAACCACCACCTCCAGCGTGACTTCAATGACCTCCCTGGAGCACGAGGAGGGAAGTCGGGGGAACGAATCGGTTTCCGATTACGACTACGACCATTGGGGGGACAACGACAACTGGGGAGACATGGAAGTACGCGTTTTGGATGTTTTAAACCGCGCACTACCAGCTGTTGGTTCGTTTGCAGACTGGCGGTCAAATGGCGAGCAGTAGCGGAAGTGGCGGCATCACTGGCACCCAAAGCGACCCCACTAGTCCGCCCTCGGGCTCAGCAGGCGCCAAAGTGATCGACGGCTGGGATAATGAGGAATGGGGCAGTTTGGAGGAGGAGGCGGTGAGACTTTCTCCGGAAACTCTTTGGAATTTACTCATTTCGATCGTCATCCAGCAGCACGGTGGCGACGCGGACTTAACCAGTCCGTCAGACGCTTGGAGTCCTTCGGACACCACTCCGATCATTCCACCCAAAGACAATGGAAAAAGCCGCAAGCAGCCGCACGGCTGGGACGACACGGAGTTTGAGCCCATCGATGAGAACTCCAGCATAAGTAAAGAAACTTTCAATTTTTCTCAGAAATCCGTGAAACTTTGGAGGATTTTTTCCATTGGCGGTTGTCTATGCAGGCCTAGTTGTTTTCTCACTATCTAGAAAAGTTGAAGTCGCCTTCACATAAATTAAAAGCAACAATTGCATAATTACACAATTTTCTCAAAAACTTACTGCTTCGAAAAGTTTTTAGAATTTATGACAAAACAAGATCTGCGGGCCACGCTGATTTCAGTTGATACCTTTTGTTAACTCAGAACGTTTTCAGGCAATCAAAAGGTGGAAGAGGCGCGCAGAAAACGAGAAGAAAAGCGCGTGTTGCGGCAGAAGGAGCTGGAGGCCAGAAGAGTGGGCCGTCCGGCCGCAGGCCCAATGAAACTGGGCGCCAAGAAAATGTAATTAATTTTAACGAATATTCTATGAAGATACTACAGCCATATCATCGTCATATAATTATGCTCGTCTTACCAAAGAAGCGTGACTATTTCTGCGGCTAAACACCAAATAAACGCGATTGGAGGTTTTCTAAATAATCCGCACCAACCATGGGTACGGCATGGTTCCTCTGCTCTAACAAGCCAAGAACATTCACGTATACTCAACAGCTTATGTTTAATTGCTACTGAACATTCCTCAGCCATATACTTGAAAAGCGGACGAGGGATAATTAAAAAAAAAACATTCGGTCATTTTCCTTCATCATACCGGAACCATTGAGTGTTTTAATCAACTGTTCCATACCTGTAAAGGTTGCTTTTTTGCAACAAGCTAAATGTTTGCAAACCTCTTCTAATAGAGAACCAAAATGCACGTTAACGTTTGACGGTGAGCAAGATTTTCGTTGCCCCTGAGGTGATCAGACGATTCACTCGGTATATTTCACTAAAAAAATGCGTAAAAAGTGAGAAATTAACTCATTAGTGCACCAGTCATCATGTTCATTCGGTTGATTTGAGCTCCGAATAGAAAAAAAATGAAGCGTTTGAATGCATCAGAGTTTTAATTGATTTCCCACTTCTGTATGCAACATTTCGCCTCTCAAAAAGGCCCAAAAGGAAAATGACCCCGAATGCTTACTTCAGATAGAATATAGAAGGTGAATGATCGCAACCTAACTCTTTTTTTATTTAGCGTAAGCCTAATGGATTTTATTGTATACATTTTATAAACTTCGTCGCCCTCAAACAGGGTGGTTGTAAATAAAAATAACTCGCAAAGAAAACAAGACTTTAGCTGTTTGGCACTATAAAGACGCAATTAGTTGCATCTTTTCGCCTTCAGCGAACACACAATCCATAAATTTGTTCTTGTTGGTGGAAGTTAATGTAAAGAACACATGATTTAAGCCGGGAAAGTGGAAACTAACGATCGCGGAAACTGAGAATCAGTTGACGATCGGCGCTGCGCGTTTTTGCGCGTTGGGATATCGGATATATAGAAACTGTTATGTGAGGAAAGGCATGAAAAACAGATAATGAAGCTTTTAGAGAGGAAAGTCTGGTTTCAGCACATGTGGAAACTGTTCTCCGATCGGATTAAGCATTTCTGATTAGTGGAGGCAAACGTAAAGTTCGCCCAGTCTCCTCTTGAAACAATATTATATTCGTCATAAAGCAAAGCTGTACATTTAAAAAAATACTGTCTAATACAATATCAACTCCCTTAACAGTACTATACAGATTCCTTTCATTGTACACCCCTTAAAACTAATTATTGAACGTATTCCAATGCTATGATTAGATCTAGGTCGTGTTATAATGAAGATTGGCTTTGACACATCGAAAGCAATCCCCTACTAATCGGCTAATACATAATAGATTCACTAACGTGTTTTCTTCAACATCGTGGCCTTACACTAGGAAAAGTATAATAAATGACGGGAAAACCCAAAGTATGAGCGTAAATTTACCGTAACGCTACTTGTTAAGTTTAATTTAATAATATAGGTTCATCTGTTCCAGTGATAGATGAGTGTAAAAATACCAGTTAACCGTTTCTTCAGCCTCGTTGGCTAAATATTACGTTGCAGATAATCTCAGAGTAAGCAAATACGTATACACCAAGTCCAGCGCAAGAAAATCGAGCACCAGGGGGGTTCCAGTGTGAATTGCGGCTCTCGAGGCTGGCGAATCTTTGGAAGTCACATCATGTGAATATAAATCATTATAACACCACATATTGCGTCCAGCCATCGAGAGCAGCACAAACAGTTAAATCTAACAGACTTTTGTTTTAGAATAATGGGGTTCGACTTGCTTCCACCCCAATGCCATCCGGCCATGCATCCGGATATGCATCAAGGCAAAAACATCCTCTTTGGCAACATGCTGCCATTGAGCACGATTACACAAAGTTCACGATAAAAGAGTCATATTGTAGACTGTGTTCACCTGCCACCACAAAAGAAACTAGCAATCGGTTAACGTGCTGCGTTACCCGATCGTTAGCTGCATGCCGAAGTGCGCGGATGACTAGCACTTGTTCACATCAGGCGGAGTGGGCAGGTACTCGTCGGCTCTTTTATGATCGTTGAGTGCTTTCACCGTGTAGTGATCTTGGGGCAGTTCGGATTTGCGTCGCACGAGCGGCTTGTTCAAGTTGCGACTCTTCTTTGCCTGAAAACAGCGCGTTAACCACCTTCTCGCTCTTTCAACGTTAGTGTGCGCGAAGCCACGATAGGGGTAGGTGAGTGAGGTCGGCAGGATGGGGATTTCGAGCAAAATAAGCTTACGGCTGAGTTTCTTTCAGGTGTGAAAAACCAGTCGCTTTAACCCGCAAGTGAAGAGGTGCCAAACAAAGCCCCACAAGTCACAAAATATGCATGATTAGATCTGTATGCATTGAACAAGGGCCAAGACCACCACCAGACGCAGTTGATAATCATTGAAAAACGCTTCACCCGAAACCAAGAGTAGACGAACTAGCGGAAGGAAACAGCAGTTCGAGTCCAGCAGCAGATCAAAAGCCGATGGCTACGCCAGCTTAGGGGAAAATAAAGCCCCACCTACCTCTATCGTCTCGTGCTCCATATCCAGAGTGATTTCGTCCTCACCTTCGGGAGTAGTGATCACATTGGCATCAGACGTGTTCCGGATCACCTCGAACTCCGTACTGGACTTAGCCAAAGTCTGTACTTTCTCCCATAGCTCCTGGCGCTGATTCTGCCGGTCCTTCTCTCTAAAATCCGCCGGAAGTTCAATTTAGCGCCTTCAAAGGCAAATCATCTGAATCAGTTAGACCTTTGACGCTCTTGTCGGTACTGCTGCGTGCACTCGTCGAACAGCTTCTGGTTCATCTCCATGAACAGCTTGAGAGAGTTGTAGATTAGCCCGTGTATTGTCTTGTTCCAGTGGCTTTTCGAGTTCTTGTACAAGCTGGGGAACATCAGGGGCAAAATCTCGGATGCGTTTTCCGCTACCAGCGACATCACATACTCATTATTCCAGTAATACAGAGCACGTTCGGCCACTTGGAAATGGGGCGAGCTGACGCACTTTGCCAGTTGTCGGAACAGCGGCACCATAATCTGAGTTTTTCAGAATCTAGTTAAATCTGCTTGGCGTTCAGTGGGAAACGCTTACCTTTTGGAACTCGGCCGGCTCGATAACGTCGAGAATCTCCTCCAACTCGTTCAGGAACATCACCTCTTTGGGACTGTGGGTTTTCGGCCAGTACTTGAGCAGGCTGCGGATCACAGGCTGCGTGAGCGACGGATCTTTCTCCAGAAATTGTACTACACAATAGGCCAGCTGCGGATGGTAGACGGACAGCGATTTCGCTTTATGGAGCGGCATCAGGACGCGCAACAGAAACACTTTGTGCTCTTCCTTCAAGGGCAGGGCGAAGCCGTTAATTATCGACCCGAGGATCTCCAGTAGCTCCGCTATGCCGTTGTGGTGCTCCGTTTCGTAGATAAACCTAGAAACAAAAATTTTAATCGAAAAAATTCCTTAAATCTTCATCGCATTTTTAACGTCAGACTAACTATGAAGACTCTCACGGCCGGTCAAATCACATTTTGAAACGTTTTCCGGGCTTTGAAGCCGTGGTCCATGGGAATTTCTTCCTGACGTTTCGTCCACAACTGCGCTGGACATTATCAAAGGCCTCATCGCTTTTGAGCGCGATGCGGCCTTTGATAATGTC